CCCATTCTTAACTGTGCCAGGGACAGCCAGTACTTATGAATTGATAGGGTTGAAACCCTCCACACTGTACGTAGGTATTTCCGTACAAGCAAAATATCTGATGTGTCAAGTGATTTTAGCAATGAAGTTCAACAAACAACAGGTAATTACTTATGCTACGTTTTTGTTTACATAAAATTTTCCCTGTATCAACATTCTACAGATGGTATCAATTGTTAAATGTAACTGCAAGCAGCCACGTTGGGCTCCATGCTAGTTAATATATTTCCTATGGGTAATCTCGTGATATCCGTTTTAATTGCCCCTTTAAATTATTACTTTTGGCATTTCAGTTTGCAATACATTAAATGAGGGTGATACGCTCAACATTTTTTAAAAATAAACCTACGTCAAAGGTTGGCTGGGCCTCTCGTCTTTGGTATTGTACATCCATCCCATGATGTGCCATCGTAGTCAATTGTCTCATTGATTCCATCAGCTTGCATTCTGTTTGCTCTGAACTCTCCACAATTCTGATGTGTACTTGCTAATTTGTCTGCCCAGTACAAATTGTTGGTCTAATAACATTTTTCATGTAGCATCTCTGCCTCTGAATTAATCATACTCAGCACCATACTCTGCGCCACCCTAATAAAACAGCCACTAGAAACTATGCTGGGTGTATTGTTCAAATAACAACTTCACCATGGTCGATCATCACTTCTGTCATTTGGTAGTGATGACCTAAATTGTCTTTCTTTGCTTGATCCCAATTTTTTTCCCATATTGATTGGGCATAGTTTATTGTCACTGGGTATAGTTAGACCGGTCTACCTTCTGTTATGGCCAAGTAACATTGTCCAGTGTCCCCTACTCTGTTTACCATATAGATCGTTTACTTTTTCCTCAGTGTTTAAATTGTTGCGATAGCTTACGGCTGCCCCAGTGTCGCAAAATAGCCTAAACTAACTTGGTTAGCCTAGGTTAGGTCAAGACGGTGGATGTTTATATAAACATAAATAATAATGCACATAACATTAAAAATAAAAATATCGCTTATGCTTCAGCATCACTTTCAATTTGAAATATTCCGATAACAGGTGTCAGACAGACAAGTTAATTCCTTTTTATAACAAATAATGTTAAGTTAAAGCTTAGACTGAATCAAATGTCCTCGAAATACAATCTTTCAAAATATAGCTACAAGTAAACTGTAGATATCTCGCTATGTAGATATCTATTTGTGAATTTCTCTACTCAAGAACTCATTTCAATATGGCTTGCTTCACATTATTTGATAGTTAATGTACGGCAGTAACAGTAGGTAATGGCCTGTTTGAGATCGAGCCTCTAGTAAATGTTTAAGGCAGGTAATACGAATCTTTAGCTTGTTGCTATTTATCTCATATTCCAGTAACCTTTGACGGTTTTTTCTACAGTATTTACAATTTACAAACAGTGCTCATTTTCTAGGTGCAATGACAACTATGAAATACGCTTTTTTGTTTTAAGTAGTTCCCGTTCACTCGTTTCTTTGTACTATATTATAATAATAACCATTCACCAGGAGAACTAGGTTCTTCTCACTGGTACTAGTGAAGAGCACAATGTCCCCCCCCCCAATATTTAAAAATGATACATTTTTTTGATAGGCAAACACCCTGGATTCAAATTAACGATACAATGAGCTGCATGGATACATTCTACTGAATGTGCTGAGATGATTTGTGATGAATTACATCATGTAGTTCACAATGATACATACATAACCCGGGTGTGATATCTACAGGCCATTGGCCCATTGTCCTTCTATACTAAGTTACGTAATAGATGAATGCTGTGACAACATATAACCCAGGATTGGGCTACAGGGAACTCCAAACTCACTAAATTCGTGGTATAACTTTGTTTTGGGGTCTCAGGTAAATAAGAGTTAATTAGGTTATTTAATGATAGCGCTTTTAAACCATGTTATTTGTCGACGTTTGCAGGCAGACAATGTCAATACATGCCCACAATTAAAATTATATCCTTTATACATGTCAGAAGGGGGAGCAGTTGCATCAGGTGATCCACATATGACAACATTCGATGGACGTCGATACAGTTTTCAAGGTGCATGCTGGTATACATTTTTCAAAGACTGCACCACACACCCTGATTTTGAAGTCACAATTAAGTTTGAAAAAAGAGATGATATTGAACTATTCAAAACAAGAACAGTGTCTTTCAAAGTTACTGTCAGAGACCAGTATGCTATTGTTAATGGCATGGATGTAGTCAAAGTAAGTATTTTGACTAATATTGTATAGCTAACACATATATACATTTGACTATCTACTATATTGACCACATAGTCATATGTAGTACTGTTCACAATATCTAAAATGTTTGCATATATTTATACATAGGGAAGTACAGGTGATGGACATGTGGATTCAACTGCTATACAGATTCAGGAAAAAGATAGCATGATTACACTGACATTCACAGCCAAGGATACAACATACACTCTGACATGGACAATGCGAAAACATATTTTAGAAGCGTCATTCTCTGGTTCTGATTACAACGGCAAACTCTGTGGTTTGATGGGAGATGCTGATGGTGACAAGCATAATGACTTCAAGAAGCCTGATGGTACTAGTACTAATGACGCTATTCAGTTTGGAGAAAGCTGGAAAGTAAATGAAGAAGTGTAAGTCTGTTTATTCTGTATTAAGTAGAGATTGTTTTGGCAAGCCCAGTAAGGTTCATAATAAAACAAACAACTTGAATACAACCTAAATTGATGAACTAACACACTCTTTTACAGAAAATTGATATTGTATGTATTGTACTGCAGCCAAATTTTGTACATATATGAATAGTCTATGTTGGTTACTAGGTAGTGGCAGGAAAATAAATTTAATGAGAAGGTACTTAATTTTAAATAATTCTACCATATTATTATATACTGTCTAAAACTAGTCCCCCTCTCACAATCTAATCATTTGGTTCTTGTATCAAGGACAGTCCCAAAAATCAAATGCACTGTCAAAATAATTGTTTCTATATCATCTAGATGCAGAGCTCTCCTCAAAACTAATCGATTGGTTCTTCTGTCATGCGAAAACATGTATTCATAAAAGTTCGTCAATAATTGCTGTTTTGCAACCAGATCTCTCTTACAAACTAATTGACTGCTTGTTTCCCATGTCAAGTTTAGAAAATGCCTACAATTTTTGAATCGTTGATACCATTTCTTCTAAAACCCACTTCAAGCACTTCATGTGATAATTCATTAGTTAAACTTTTTTGTCGAAGTGATCAATAATAATTTAAGCATACGTTATTTTCTTTGACCTTACAGGTGCAACTAAGAGTGTCCAGAGGCCGAGCAGACCTACTGATTACGTGTTATCAATTGGAAGTCATATGGGAATTTGGTGTTATAAGTTGTAGAATGATTTTGTCATTATGTTGTGATTTTGAGATTCTAGGGTTCTGGTTTAAAATTATTCAAGACAGGTACTGTTGAGTTATATAGAATCGGAATTATGACTTTCATGTTCAGCATCGGAATGTTAAATTCAATAAAGGGTTTAAAATTGGGAAAAAAGTGTGTGAGTATTTATTAATTAAGTTATTTAACAATTTGAGGAAAAACTAGAATAGAAGATGCTTGCACTTGCCTGAATCTACACATGTGTATTGAGAGTGAAGATTTGCGTTTTAGGGCTTATACAAGCCAGACATGTATGTATGCTTGCACATTCCTGAATCTACAGATGCACAATGAGGGTGAAGTTCTACTGCAATCGGCTTGGCTTGCACATGCCTCAGTATATTAATGTGTGTGCGAGTGAAGATCTACTTCTTTATGCATGCACATGCCTGACCCAATGCATGGAGATCTATATTAAAACCTTGCACCATATGCATTCTTGCCCCTAGGGCTGGCAGCACATTGGCAAACCATACCGGATGCAATGTAAATTTAGTACCCCTAGAGCAGACATATTGAAAAAAAAACACCCCTATTGAAGACATATATTGGGAACATCCTACCCCATATTGCCTCCTCTGCCGTTTTTGCACTCACAAGTGGAATGTGATCAACTCAAACAAATTACTTGTGGTTGCAGTGTATGCAACTCCTGGTGGTGCCATTCGTTGTTTTATGGGTCCGCTAACTCGGGCCTAGGGCAGTGTATGGGAGTGGTTGTTGCAAGAGGGGGCCTTCAGCTGGCGCTGACGTAGATTTGTCTTCTTTCATTTCTAAATATGACATTGTATGCCTACAAGAAACCTGGCTAAGAAAAATAGTAACATAAATGTAGATAGTTATAGTTATTTAGATGTTACAGAAAGAATAGTATTCTGTTTAAAAATACATTACAAAAATCCATTACAAAATTAGAAATAAAATCAAGCGAATACTTGTGGTGTAAAATTGATGGGCAGTTGTTTGATTCTGGATTGGACCATTACCTATGTTCAGTATACATTCCACCAGAAAGCTCAGTACTTCATTCCAGACAGATATCGATATATTATTTGTCTGTGGATATTATTATTACAGTAAAACTGGTGAAGTGATTT